CTTCTTACCGGGCCTGATTTTTGTAGTGTTTCCTTGGCGTAATAAATTGGAAAAGAAGTCTATTAACTAGCCAGGCTATTTTTCCTAGCAAATGAGGGAAACAAATAGTGTTGTGTCCTTGTTACTATTCATTAGTTCTCAAAAGGTGCTAATTAGCCTGCTAAAGAAACCATATGGATTCTCATTTCTTGCTGTTATCTTTTTGATCCTGCTTTCCCATCTATTTCTTATTACTTTGACAACTGTCCTGCCGTAGTTTTTAAAAGCTTATTCTGCATATAGATTTTATATATATAGTTATGTCACTTAAGAGTGTGACTTTTTAAAATGCTACAATACCAATATAATTCTTCATGCAGGTGAAGCTCAACTGATACACACATTCTTTAGCATATTCTCCTTTTCTGATGGAGAATGTTGCACCATTTGGCAGCAGCTCCCTGTGGATACAACAGCAATGCACAGAGATGGAGCTTACCACTTCACAGGGGAACCATCCTGGTAGCATAACGTCCTTCACACACAGCCTAGACTGCTTGGCTTCCCAGCTGCGTAACCTTATGAATGCTGCAAAGTCTTTCTCAGTATTCATTATCTTCGATCCTCACACCCCATAGGAGAGCAGAGGGACAGTCCTAGCTACCAGGGAAAATATTCTCCCTGAAGAAGCTGTAGGTACATCTAATTCTCAGTACAGACCATTGCAGTTTGTCACAAAAGGAAAGCAGCCTGCTCCAAAGAGAGAGGTCTGTTCAGAAATTACTCCTCAGGTAGAAGGTGTAGGCTGACTGACTGCTGGGGTTACGAAAATGACAGGCTTTCAGTCTTGAGCTGAAGGGTCCTTTCCATCAGACAGAGATACGCAATGTGCCTCAGACAAGAGGAAATAAGAGTGAGGAATAAAATGGAGTATTTCCCTTGGAAATGAGTCCTTCAAGTGATTTTTTTTCCTCCCCTTCCTGCCTTGGATACCCACAGGTCATGAGCAGTCGCTTCCTACCCTATGACAACATAGTGACAGATGCAGTGCTAAGCCTGGATGAGGACACCGTGCTTTCAACCACTGAGGTAAGGTTCCCTGTTGTCTTGGGAGTCTGCTGGGCGACTCGGCTTAGCCTGAGCACAGCAGCTAGGCTCTTCTCTTGGCTTTGCTAGTGAGCAAATGTTGTAAGATTTCCTGCTACGCTCCTCAGATTTAACGTGTTGCACTTGTTTCAGCAACCCTGCCACTGCCTGCCATCAGAGGAGCTTTTCGCCCTGGTTAATTGGCTCATCATTAGCATATGGTTCTTCCGTTCTTCATTATTTTAGTAACATAGCTGCAGGCGGGTGTAGGCAGCCAAGAGCAGTCAGCTTTAATACTCTGTTCTCACTTTTCTGGTTGGGGTAGCTTTTTTCCCCCCACGTTATCAGTAGGGGGTAGGTGGGGAAGGAAGGGGTGTCAGCAGCAGGGGACTGCTGTCACTCCAAAAGACAGTGTTGCCACCCTAACGCAGGATTTCACTGAGGAATGCTCTCTCACCATTGTGTCACCCCATAAAATTGGAGATCTTTGCTAGTTTAGGTGTTGGAGTGTTTGTGCCAAGAGCAAGATAGCGCTAAGAAAAGAAAAATACTGTAGAAAACCAATTTTTACAACTGGGATGAGTATTGATTTCTGGAACCTCTTCCTGAGAACCACAGGGGAGACTGATGACAGTTTATATAGAGTGCAATATTTGGGAAATACATTATTAATGATGGCCAGGGAATAGCTTGAAAAGCTCGATTTTCTTTTGTTTTCCATTTTTTTTCGCCATGTTCATGACCATTCCCTTCTCCGCACTTCACCTTTATAAAAATGCTTTTTTGTCTGTGATGGGGATCTTTCACTGATGCTACCACTGCTTATATGTCAGTGAAGAAATGCCTAACATTAGTCACCAGTCACTGCTATATACCCTAAGATGTCACTGAATTTGTTCTAAATGGATGAGATTGCACCCGCTCTTCTGCCCAGTATGGATAAAAAAGGTTGTGCTGTGGTTAGACTGCTCCAGAAGGAGCCACTGTAGCCCTCTTCTGCTGCACAGATGGAAGAAGTAGCTGGCATTGAACCTATTCGATACCAAGTTTACACCTTGGTAGTTTCTGCTAGATGAGGAAGAATACAGCTGCTGCCAAAGCACTTGTGTGCAAAGCCCTGCACAGCCAAAAAACCCCAAAACCAATAAAAGCCAGCCCCCAATTAGGGCTGGAGTTCCTAAGCAGGTTGCTGCTCAGGGTGAAGGGTCTCAGCTGCCCTGGGGGCCATGGTAAGACCTCTCAGGGACTTCATGGCACTGAGGTGGTATTTACAGCAATCCAGCCTGTGCATTACATGAGGATTTGGGGCTTTTTTTTGTTGTTGTTTTGACTGGTATTTAGTCATCATCCAAACTTTGGAGTTATTTAGGCTTCTGGGAGGCATATGAAATAAATAGTGTTTCTCATTCGGCTTGGCTGTGTTTTACCCTAAACATTCTGAAACGCAAATATTTGTTGTTGTGTGAGACAACATACACATTTCTTTGCGGCTTCTTCCCTCCTGTGAGCAGCTTGCAGATGATATTGCATGTTTGCACAGTGGGTATTGGCTCTACGAGCCCTGTGGCCCCTGTGCTGCAGAGAGAACCAGCTGGCCAGCTCTTGCTAGCACCCACCTTTGCAGCTTCGGCGTGTCTCTGCCAGGGTGCCAGGGTCGGCAGCTCTCTTTGGTGGCTCTCTGTGAAGAACGGGGGCCTTTCTATTGCTTCACTTCCCCCGTCATACAGCTTACGCAAAGAAACAGCGTGTTGAAACACTGGCATGAAACGTGTGGTGGGAAACTTCCCTTGAAACTGGCTGCTCATGGGTGGTCATCGTGGCAAAGCTTCAGCACCCAGAAAAGGCAATTTAGAAACATGATCAAACACGATCATATTCCTGTTGAGAGGAGTGGTCAGCAGGCACATCCTCCGCTCTGTCCAGCTCTACCATAGTAAAGGTTTTCCATTCACAACAGAACTGCCCATAATTGCTCTTGTGAGAGGAGCTGTTTCACATGCGCAGAGGGATGTTTGCTCGGGAAGTAATTAGAAATCAGCAGGGGTCAGAAGTGATACGGGGGTTTAAGAGACTGGCAGCCT